ATTTATATCTGTCTGTATTATAGTTAAACAACTGATTAAACAAACTAAAGAAAGCTGTTGAGTTCCTTCCCCAAAATCTCACATTAATTACATCTTATTTAAAATTAGTCATTTGTTCAAAGTTTGTTTATTGTTTATTTAAGATACAAAGCTAACTTCTTTACCTTTTACCAATTAAAAGAATAAAGTAACACCTGATTTTGTGATTTAAGAAGAGTGAAATAAATAAATGTGCTTTTTATTCACGTTTTCTTTCATTCTTTCTGACCTTTAGAGAAACTGATCGAAGGACTCAAATCTCCTGACACGTCTTCACTCCTGCTTCCAGACCTGCTGTCGTTGTCTGATCCTTTTGGTGGATCTGTGGAGTCTGTGAAAGGTACCAATTATGTGTTCTTTACAGCCGAAAACAGAAGCCTTCACAGCTCTGGAGACCAGAAGAACTCTTAAATATATTGTGTTTCTCTCAGCAGCAGCCTGGATAATTTTGATATGCTCAAACAGAAATGATAATATTCAGATCAGACTTTATTAATGTGTGGAGTTAAAGTAAAATGTAGCTCCATGTGTTTACAGCTCCAAAACACAAGTCCAGTTGCTTCATCTTTTTACTTTTCATTTTCCACGTAGATAGTATGATAATAATGATGTCCAGCCTGGGTCGCGGAGAGTATCGATCCTAAAGTTAGCTACTCGGTTGATACTTTTTTTCCAGCTCGTAGTTTCGTTCAAAAAAAAAAAAAAGCTTCACTGGAGCATCCCGGTCAGAGGCAGCTTCAGATATAAACTCTGAACTAAACAAGCATGTCAGATAATTATTTAACCAGCTCTGATTAAACAACAACTTCCGATTCGATGTGTAATATGTAGCATCCATGCTAGCTCTGTAAACAAACAAGCCGGCTGATGAGACGTGGCTGATGAGACGTCACGTCTGTTACTGCGCATGCGTGTCACATCAGTGCTGTGTAACGTTCACACAGGGGTCTGATGCAGGTCACATTTAAAATGTAATGTGAACGTTCACACAAAAAGATCGGATTTTTTCAAAAAATCGGAACTGAGCATTAAGACCTGATGTGTGAACGTAGCCTTAGAGAGAAAAACAGAATCTGATTAATCTTTTTATCTAATATTTGATTTCTCCTGACCCACCCCAGACCCCCTTACTGCAGACGACTCTCTCCTGAGCTGCTCTCTGATCTCCAGTCCACCTCCTCCTGCGTCGGCGGGCAGCGCCACCTCCTCCATCTCGTCTGCGCCCACCTCCGCCACCTCTGCTCTGGATGAGTTTAGCTTGTTGTCTGGAGACTTGGTGCAGCCTAAAGGGGGTAAGCTGGAAGAGTTTTACAGTGACACGCAGATATGTTTGTCCAGCTGCTCTGCGGAGAATCTTTTAGAAACATTTTTTCCCCAAAAGGATAAAACATATCTTCCTGTTATTCAGTGATTTTTCATTTGTTTGTTTTTTGGCTCAGCTGTGGCTGTGTCTGGTTTTCAGTGTCTGCAGATTGAGGACTCAGCTCTGGTTCTGCTAACTATATAAAAGGAAGTAAAAACAAATCAAAACAAAAATATGCAATTAGTTTAAAGCTTCTAGGTTAAAAAAGGTAAAGACAACCAGAACCAAAGCATTAAAATGTGCATCTTGAGGAGATCAAAGTAATTAAATTCATCAATCCAAATATAAGACCTTAGTTAGCCTTAAAATGTCTTAAAGTACCTGTGACATCAAATTTTTGTGATAAATATGATTGCACTTTTTAGAAAGATAACATGGATAACATATTTCAAAAGCAATTTCACACCACTGAGATGAACAGTTGTTAAGATATTTGCATGTTAAGTAGCAGGAAGTGATGTCAAATGGGAATGTCTGCATGTAAACAGAGCGTTGCTACAACAACTAACAACACAGACAGAAGAGAATTTTCTGTTGTTTCTTCAGATAATTTTTGTTCCTATAAGAGAGATGAAGAAAAGTCAGAGTTCAAATAATATTGTTTTAATAAACAAAGACCAGAGAGTTTTTTTTTCTTAAAGAGTTCTCCTTTGATGTCACTTCCTGTTTCATTTTAGCTGAGCCAAATTCAAAGGAAAATATGCCAGTTATGTGACAAAATGGGTTAATCATGTGTTTTATGCCAATTTTCTTAAATATGAAGATATTTTCTTTGACTTTTTGTATTTGAAGGACAGGTATGTCACAGGAACTTTAAAAATGTTAACACATTGTAAGTAGGATGATTGGAAACATTTATTTATCTTTTTTAAATAATTTACTTTTTGCCTCTCTCAGCTAGTTGTTTTATGTTAAAATAAATATTTGGGTAAAATTGTTGCTAACTGGGTTTTTTATTCCATTTGTATTTATTGTGAAGTTGGTCTTATATTTCATTTCAAGTGGCATTAAAGAGGTCTTAAAAAGGCTTAAATTTAACGTGTGGGAACCCTGTCTGTGCTTGTAATCTGACAAAATAAAAAAATAAATATCTGTCATTATGTTTCCTCAACAATACAGTTCCAGGCACTAGTTTTCATATTAAAGTACAACATAGGAGGCATTTTATTGTTAGTAAAATCTATAAGAGATAGGCATACAGAGAACCTGATTCAAGATGCAAATATTTGCTCAGATAGCAGTTGTTTGGCTTCATGGAACCATCTGCTCAGTCTGAGAAAACACTGGCTTCTCTGTAAATGTTTAAATGGTAGCATCAAACTAAGCCACACATAAATCACAGGATTCTGACAAAATATTTCAAAGATATGTCTGCCAATTAAAAAGAAAAAGTTAAAAAATAAAATATATTTCGTTAGTCTTTGGTTTTCTTTTTCCTCAGGACAACAGGAAATCATTACAAATCTGTGAACTTGTTCTTGCAGCTGTGTCAAATTACAAATCGCTTCACATTTTTTTTATGTGTCACGAATTGACATCGACATCTCAATTCATTACTGTCATTTTGAGCTAAGAGGTTTACTCGAGAGGAACAAGGTCATCCTTCACGGACTCTGAGTATCAGATTGACACTCGTCATCTTTAGAAACCCGACAATCGAACAGCTTTGATTCGGCTCTGGATTCAGATTCAGCTGAGGTGAGAAAAAATGTAAATATTTCACCCACTGGATCTCATCAGAGGCATGTCAGTCCTAGTTGTCTACCGTTTATCCTCCTAACTTTAATCAATAAGAGACCTTTTAAATAAGATCGTTTTAAAACCTTTTAAAGTGTTTAAAAATAGCTGAGTGTTTCTGCGCTGACTGGATTCATCTGTACAACTAAAACCTGCGCAGCTGTTGTTTAGTCATCGGTCCTTTGCTGCTGAACCAAAAACATTTGACGGCTGCTGACTCTGCCATCTTTAAATCCCCGCCTGATTGTGCTCTCAGGCTGAATTGAAGTAATTATCATTAACCTCGAGTCGCAGACGTGCAGGAAGAGTTAGTTCACCTCGAGGAAACGAAACGTAAATGATTTTATTTGTGATTTCGTCAACAAATATGTAGAAGCATCAACATAGGAATGACAAAAAAAAAGAAACTGATTCTTATTTTTCTCTCTCTCAGCTGCCGTAGTCTAACTTTAACCAAACCTTTGATCCTCTGCAGACTCGTCTCTCCTGATCTCAGACTTTGAGGTCCAACAGACGAGCGCTGAAGCAGCTACAGAGGACGAGTTTGATCCTATTCCTGTCACCGGGCGCAAAAATTCCCAAGGTAGGGTCTCTAAATCTCCCCAAAGGTGGGTTAAAAACAGCCGTTCTTATTTTCCGGAACATAAATCTAATAGCTCGTTTTAGAAATGTAAAACTGTAAATTCATTGTGCTTGAAAAGCTGTAGCATCAAATGGGTAAACTCTTTCTTTCTCAACCCTTTTTCCCCCTTCTCTGCCTGCTTTGTTTGCTTGTTGTGACTCCTCTGCTCCTCCTCTCCTCTGTTTGTCTATTCTCGTCTCGTCCCCCTGCCCTCCCGCCTCTCCCCTTGTCTTTTTTTATTTATTTATTTATTTATTTATTTATTTTTTTGCTTTTTTTTCCCCCCGGCCAGTTTCAGGTGGCCACTCGCGCAGTAACAGTGGCGGCTCTGAATCCAGCCTGCCCAGCTTGGCTCGCTCCCTGCTGCTGGTGGACCAGCTCATCGACTTGTAGACGGCCCCCCCTCTCTCTCCCTCGTAGAAGCTGTAACACTGGATAATAGTCTGGCATAGCCTAACCTCAATCAACACTGTTGTCATAGCTTAACTTCCTGCAACCCCCCCCCCGACTGTCATCTTCATTAGATAGGCGTCCATCACCTTTCAGCGCCTCTTCATCCCTGCTTTCAGCCTCGTCCATAACATTCTGCCTTCTCTTCACCTCTCATCTCATCCTCGCTCTCTCTTTGTTGTAGCCTCCATGCATCATGTACTTTCCCAGTGAGGAAAAACTGACAAACTCACTCGCCATTTATTCTGCAGAGAGTTTTTTTGTCAATCAAGAGAAAAAAACCTATCGATTTAAAGAGTATTGCTTTATGTCTAACAGCAAACAAGAAAATAACATTGTTGTAATGTATAATAGACATAGTTCTAAATGGTCGTAGTAATCGTGCACAAGTGAAATTGTTGTCATTTGCCCTTTTTTTAAATTCCCCTCCCCAAAATTATTTGCACATTTTAAGGAAAAAAAAAGTAATAAATGACCATTCATTAAAATGAGATTTGTTTGTGTTAACATAGCAAAACTGTCTTTAAAGCTTAAATCATTTAGCTTGTTTTGCACAGACGCATAGAAGTTACCCTTATCAGAGCTGTAGGACAAAAAATATCTTTACTGAACTAAAGCTGCTATAGATTTAGAAAAAAAATAGATAAACAACAAGGTGAGTCGCAATCTGGAAGCAGAACAGCCATTACACGCCATGCTGAAGTGCCATAAAGTTGTCCAAGAAGCGGAATGGGTAGTAGCTGCAAAACAACGATGCAATCCAGCCGTACAGTGTGAAAAAAAGATTACTGATGAAAACAAAACATTTCTTTTTAGCCTCTTGTCATCTGCTGGTGCTTTGAGTTTATTTATTTGAATCAAAACAAGCTGAAAAAATAAAATCAGGGTCTTTCAGGTGAGTTGACAGCAGCGTGCCATATCAGTAGAAATGCATTAAATCATGAAAAATATCAGATAAATTTACAGCGATGGGGAAGCAGCAGAAGAACAGTAGCATTTTTGTATAGACTCTTCAGGCCACTTATTGGGGGGGGTAACAAAAATCCCATCAAACTAATATTTTCCACACGTTTTCTATTTGTACCCCCACACATTAACACATTTATTTCCTCCGACATTCCTCCTTTTTGTTTATTCCTGATGTAAATAATTATCTGCAACAACTCCTGCAGCCTCCGATCCAGATATGAAGTCTTTGTCATGAAGCTTTACTTGTGGAAGACATATTGCTTTACTTGTGAATTAGATGTATGTCATATATATATAT